GATTTGCACTTTGGGCTTGTCCTTTTGCTAGCATAACATAAACAGCATATATATTGATAACATGCAAGAGTCAAGACAACTGATGTTAAATATTTTAATGACTCTTTTCAAAGTTAATGACAAGACTTTATTGGTACAACAAAGTGCCATGGTCTATAAAAGTGAAACTGGCTGTGCTTAGGTTTACTTAAAAAGGGGAAAGAAAAAAAAATACCTGTTCTCTCTGGACAACATTATGCAATCAAATAGAAAAAAAAAACAGAATTAGTAATTAAAACATTCAAGTATTCATAGTGTTTTTTGTTGAGGCAGGACCAGGATTAATCTTTCACAAAACAAGTTGGTTGCTGCTGGACAGAGGATCACACATTGCCTCTACATATACACCTGCCAACATACTGAGTCTTGGCATAACAATTTGAGGCATGGTTCTATGACGGGTTGCTCTTTCTGACACTCAATTCAAAAACTCATGATAGTCCCATTTTTTTGAGTGTTTTTATGGAGACACTATCACTAGGAAAGTTGACATATATATATGTATATATAGAGAGAGAGAGGGAAAGAGAGAGAGATGAAGCACAGTGGAGTAGTGGGTAGTGGCTTGGATTGAGGAATCAGAGAGCCGAGTTCAAATTCCAGACAAATTCATTACATTCATTTATGTGCTAATACCCTTGGGAATGGTATGAATCCTCTTCCTCTCCCTTCAGCTATGGGTAAATAGCAGGACAAACTGGGTTCTATAACCTTGGATGTCAACTGGTCTAGAAGAAGAACAACTCTCAATTCAAAATGTGTGGAGGGTCATTTGCAGACCTTGTGGCATGTAGTGCACTAGGTCTCTGTATTCGGTCCTTTCAAAAAGAATGGTTAAGCACAAAACCATCACCACTATATTCAAATCACATGTGCTGGTGTTGGGCTGTTGGTTCTGAGGAACTGAACTGCTTGACCCTCATACGTCAAATATATATAGATATATGTGTGTGTGTGTGCGCGCTGTTACTGTATTTGGTTACAATAAGTAATGTCCAACATATGTTAGTTTTTACTGTAACCAAGTACAACTTGCCACGTGGATGGGTAGTTGGTGTCTAAACCAGCTTCCTGACTAGCTTTTCTACTGGTGAGGAGAGTGGCATGTCATCTCTAAGAACAAAATCAAAACCTGCCAGAGTGGATGAGCTTCTTATAGAAGCCAAAGCCAATACACACACACACACATATATATATATATATATATATATATATATATATATACACACACACACATCACTCTTCATTAATGAATTGAGCCCTCTGGCTGCTGGCATTTATATATATTCATATATAATACATAAAAATTTTATTTTTTCAGCCATGCACCAATAGCTTAAGGGTAAGATCTCTGACTGATGCCAAATTGGTCGGATTTGATCTTGGCTTGAAGCATTCGGATGTCTAGCCACACTGATGAACTGTGAAACAGGCATGTATGTGGATGACTATGTGTGTGTATATATATATATATATATATATATATATGTATTGTAAGGCTACAATGGGATCTCAAGCCTTGGATGGCAACCTTCCTAGAGTTGGTGTCTCCATAAAAAACACACAGTATACTTGGAGTTGGGTGTGTTAGGAAAAGTATTTGGCCTTGTAGAACCCTGCCTCAAATCATTATGACAAATCTCTTGTCAAGCAGGATCCACCTTGCTTTGTGCAAGATTAATCCCAGTCCTGTCATAACAAAAAAAAAACGCAGCTATGTATGTAGACTGTTCTTGATCAGCTGGCCATGTCTAGGGATATCTTGACTATGTTATCTGGATCAATATACACCTGATAAAGGTCAGAGGGAACAACAGCCAAAATGTTATAACAACAAAAAAGATGAAGACAATAGTCAGCATGTAAATACTGCTATATCTATAACCATTTGAATAGATGAACACAAATCAATAACTAATTGCAGAAAAAAAGGTAAAATATTACAACTAAGGAAATATACGTATGGGTCACAATATCAAAAAAGAAACATTCATGTAGTGTGCACTAATGTAACACAGATTCAGTGGATATAAACAATTGGTTGTTTATGGGGAAGTGATTTTCTGTTCATGTATAATTGGTGTTAAAAGCAAAGAATAACAAATATTAATCATAATAAGACTTCCCATATCCTATCCACCAGATATCAATGATGACATAATTTTTGACTAAGAGTTCTATACTCACAGTGTTCACCAATCAGAAGCTTGGTAAGGGGCTTCGGTCACTGACCCTCACTTAAACAAATATATGTTCACAAAAGAATTCAGCACTCTAATTTTTACCCATAGTCGAGGGAAGAAGGCATAGATTCCAGTCTGGTTTTTGAATTTAGATTTATCCTTCTCTCAGACTGGTTGCCAACCAAGGCAAAAGAGAGCCCAGTCTGCCCTCCTATTTTACTCATAGCTAGGGATAGAAAAATAGATTATTATTTAGGAAATATGTGCAAAGCAAACAAATTTTCTCAGGTAGAATTTCAACTTTGCATATCAGTTCCATTTTCCATGTTAAGCCCTCTGCATCTCCATGCATTGAAAATATTTTTTTAAACAAATGTTCTGAAATCCATGATAAGCATTATACTTTTTAAAATGGCAATCTGTGCATTTTGTTCAACATCTGATGAGTTGAAAAACTGAAAGTCTCTATGTTAAGATGTCAGTTTTCATCACAACATTTTCTGGGTAAAGGGATTGACTTTGCAATACCCATCTCCAAGTAAAATGCGACAGACAGTATAGGTTTATGTGGTAGTTGCAGCAAAGAATCCTTGATCCAACTGCAATGTTACACTCTTGAATTTTAATATTATTACTGCTTGAACTACAAGTACAATATACAAAACTGTGACAACATTGGGTATAAGTATTTTGTCAGAATATTAAGACAAATACTATGTGAGAACGTGAATGGTTAATATTGAGAAGCTAGTGGGGGAACATTTAGAGGTATATTTGGTTGAGAGAGATTGGTTGATATTTAGAACATGATCGGGAAATGTCTAGGGGCATAGATGGTTTAAAAAAAGAGAGCACTTGGTTAATATTGAGGATATAGTGATAGAATATCTGGAGGTATAGATAGTTGAGGTAGAGAGTAGTTGGTGGATACTAAGAACATTATAGGGAAACATCTAGATTGACTAGTTTTTTATGGCTTATTAGCCTTTTGCAGGTTATTTAAAGACAGAAAATATTTTTAGAATGTAGGAATTTTTTGGAGATAATAATTTACTAATACAAGTCTTATTAATTAATCCATAGCTGGGGAAAGAAGAGGTGGATTCATACTTTTCCCAAGGGTATTTGCTTATAAGTAAATATAACAAAACCAACTTGAATTGGAACTTGACTCTTCCATTTCCAATTCTGAGTTGTTATCCATTACACCACCCACACATCCAAGCATACAGCACCTGGTATTCCCAAGTGGTCATCCATCTAGCTACTGACCAGGCTTAATGTTACTTCGGTGATCATACAAGAAACAAGGTTTCAATATGATACTGCTGTAAGCTAGGAACATCTAGAGGTATAGATGGTTTAAGAGAGTGATTGGCAGATATTGTGAGCCTGATTGGAGGAACATATGGATATATAGATGATTTAGAAACAGTGATTGATTAATATTGAGAACCTGATTGGGAGGACATCTGGTGGTAGAGATGATTTACAGAGAGTGATTGTTTGTTGATTTAAAGAGGTTTTTTTGTATTTTTTGCTAAATAAAAATATGAATATAAAAATATCAAGACTCCTGCTTTATTTTGAATGAAAGTCAAGGACCTTTTCAATTCTAAAATAACAGTGTGATCAAGTCTTGGGATGAGAATCCATTTAAAATGAAACAAGACTTTGGATTTTGCATTCAGAGGAATTAGGCAAAACAGGCAAATATTTCTTGTCCTTTTTCATGCTGGTCAGTTGGATAGCCTTATTTGTGATTAAATCAAATTGGTGGAGTTGTATCTTGTACAATAAGCATTGCAACTCGTAATAATTTTTTTCAAAATGTTTGTCCATTTAATCTTTAGTATGCTGGAGGCTATTTTGTTTAGGTAAGTATGGGCTCTAATTTGGGACCAGAGAAAATCTCTCTTATATCCGGGTTACACTGTATAGGAAAAAAGAACTCTAGATTACAATTTTCAAAATGTTTTTTAAATACTTTTTTACATTTAAAGAAGTAGATAGGTTTGCCCAATTTTTTGAACAGGAGTAGAGAATTGTTTCCAGTTCCTTCTAATGTTTTCTCATTCTCTTTCACTCCCATTAACCCTTTCCATCTTAGTGGCATTATGACCTTGCTTCGAATGAACTGATTAAAACAAAGACATGTTGTATGTACATATTTCATTTGATTTCTGTAGGGGGAATGAATTTACATTGCAAATCGGACAAACACTTTATAACTTTACTAAAATCTAATTAAGAATTATTCCTTTTTTTATATTCATGATCTGGAGGGCTTAATCCAAAATAATATGAAAAAAGATTTTGAAAATAATCCCCTTTAATTACCAACTGTCATTTCTAATTAAATACTTAGCTTGCAGTTAGGGGTGAGAAACTCACTTACAATAATAAAATGATGAATTCTCACCAAAAATTTAGCTTAACACTGATGTGATTTATAAAACTGTCATAACAGAAATAATGTAGAGAACTGTCATTGTACTGAAAACAGATGTAAATTGATATATCACTGAAAACAGATGTGAATAACTTTCACAACAGATGTACAATAGATGACAGGTAATGACAAAAAAAAGAAAGAAAATGAAACAAACACTGCAGAGCAGTACAGATAGGTAAAAAGAAAAGTGGTAGGGAGGGTCAAGGATATGTGGGATAGTGGATTGGGATAGGGTGAAACCTGGCTGGGTGGAGCAGCAAGTGAACAATCAGGTTGGCAGGGTGAGGTACAGATAAAGAGGAAGAGTTCTCACTTCCACTTACCCAAAGTCTCTAGAATACGAAATAATACGAAGTGGGTCGCTTCCACTGAAAAGGTAAGAATAATGGAGACACAAAAATAAAAAAACATTGGATCATGGGATTTTTGCTTATAATTTTGTATGACATCAATAATTTTGACCCAACTTTATTTCAAATCAATCAGTCATCAATAATAACTGGAATTAAAAATGAATGTGATGAAAAACAGAATTGAATGTGCATGGATGCACACACAAATATATATATGTATATATATATTTATTTTTTTTACAGTAGGGTTCATGCTCTACAAGGCCCGGGAGCCACTGGAGTTAGAGGGTTATGTTAAGAGGCAATTTGTGTGGATGGGAGGGTAAGATAATGGTTAACCCGAGCCTTGAACAGATTAAGATTGTAGTGATCAGGGAAACATCTTGGCAGTCAATTCCAAAGAACAGTGGTTTACGAGAAGTTGTTCAAGTGGAACTAACTTCTCTTTGATTAAATATGGAGGGAATCTGTGGTTTGCTACAATGTAAGTGGCATGTCGTGCTCTTGTTGTGAACTAACGAATCAGGGAATGTAATATGTCCGAACACCTTCTATGGAAATATATATGAAAAAAATCCAGGGTGTAGATTTATATTTTGATAAGAATCAATAGCTGCACTATCAAGAATTCAAAACTATTATGGATATGATTAGAACCAAAAACATCCATAACAAGAATAATCATTCTGAATCATATATATATATATATATATCTCCAAATGTAAGGGAGGTTCAAATGGAATATAATTACAATGTCCAACATCATATTTTAAAAAAGTGCTCAATAGAAAGTAAAGCTTAATAATATTAATTAACAATTATAGCAAAAACATATTATAAACCACTACATAAATGCAATCATGTTTCAGCACTATAGGTGCTTTTTCAGGGAGTGGTAGTTAACTGGAGAACAAACAATCATTGTATGGATTAAAAGCAGCATTAGCCTCACAGGAAGAGGGAAAGGGAAAGGGAAAAAGCTAAATTTCTAACATGCTAGGAGGTGATCTAGATTAACCAATCAAATGTTGGACCTACAGTAAGTCCAAAGTTAACGTCAATATTGGAGTCCTATTGACTGTACAAATTATTTAAAATTAAACTTAAATGTTAACAAAGGGTCAAGTTTATTGTATTCTTTGGTCTTAACTCAATAAAAATAACATAGGAATAAAAAGTATCAAGATGAAAGCAAAGGATAAGTTATTTAGAATTTATTTCTACAGGTATATTGGTAGAAACAAATTTAATGCCTACAATAGGTAACCATTTTGAGGACTCCATCTTGAGTTAGTGTATCTCACCTTCTAAATAACTTATACTTTGCTTTCACTTTAAATTTTTGTTATTTTTATTGAGTTAAGACCAAAGAATCTTGACACTTTGTTAACACCTAAGTTTAATATGAAATAATTTGTACAGTCAATAGGAATCCAATATGGACATTAACTTCAGACTTATCATAGGCCCAACATTTGATTGGTTAATCTAAGTCACCCCCTAACATGTTAGAAATTTAGCTCCCCCCCTTCCTGTGAGGGTATTGCTCCTTTTAAGCCATAAAATGATTATTTATTCTCCAGTTAATCACCACTGCTTGAAGAAGCACCTATAGTGCTGAAACATAATTGCATTTATGTAGCGGTTTATAACATGTTTTTGTTATAATTGTTTATATAAAATAAATTGTTACAACTGCCCATCACTATACATTAGTGAAACCTGCAGAAATTTAAAAAAAAACATATCTATGAACACAAAAAGGATCTTTTACACAGCAATTTATCAAATACATTGGTTATACATAGAAATAAGTTCAACCACAATTTTGATCTAAAGAATACCACACTTATTAAAAGAGAAAGTAACTTACTGAGACTGAAAATTCTTGAGAGTGCAGTGTTAATATTAGCCATTCCCTTATAAGGAAATATTTGTCATTCACTGACCAAGTAGTCATTGGTACTTTTAATTGAAATTTATCTAAAATCTTTCACTTAAAACAGTTTTTTAGGAAAATAGGTTTCTCAAGCCCAGTAGCTGTTGTCGGTCTTTCCAGTATTGATGGGGTTTTCCTTCCTAACCCTTTGTTCGATGTAGTGTGGAATGATATATAAGAGAATTTGTAAAAACATCTACTTTGATATGCTTTGATGATAGATTGACTTTATCAGAGAATAATGTCAATCTATTGGCAAAACATGTTACAAATATTATAATTTACCATTCTATCAGATTCCAACCCAAACTCTCACAAGTATGTGAGGGGATGTTGAAAATTTTTTAGCCTGACCTACTTCTGAGATATCACAATCTCTTTTTGGGAGCTCTTCCCAGCTAGTCTGGGAACTTTCAAAACCATTCGTATATGTCATGTTGTGACTCCATAAAGATTTACAAATATATTCCATAATTTTTATAGACCCTCCCACATCTGTTTCAGAAAATTAATGAATAATCTTAATGTTTACACAAGTTTTTTTTTTTTTTTTTTTTTTTTTTGAGGGTGGGGGAATGGAATGCACTGTATTACCAATTCTACTAGGGTGTTCAAGTGCCACAGTCCAAATCGACATGCATGAGGTGCAGCCCCACCAAATTTCCAATCTGGTGATCTGTAAATTTAGCCGGCATTTCATAAAACTCTCAAAAAAAGAATTCACTCCAAGAATCAAAGAACATTTTCTATAAATTTTTTCTTCCTTTCAGAAAGCAATTTTTGTGCCTCAAGCTCTGGAAACTTTGGAGTAACAGTTTACTTATGTGTGTGTGTGTATATATATATATATACAGGCTGCAATGGATAAATTCTCTAAAATATGCAGAAATGAAAGTAACACTGACATCTCATTTTCATTAATAAAAAAAAAAATGATCTGAAGAGATGGACATGAGGTCCATGAAATAAATTTTTTACCACCTGACCTGATAGATTTTTAAGGATTCTGTATTCATTATTATATATATATATATAAACAGAGAAGAGGATATATAATTTTTTTATGAATCAGAATAATATCAGGAAAGTTAATGACAAGAGTAAAAAAAATTTTGTGTGATTCATTTGTACTTTACGACTTCATTGGACTAAAATAATAATTTTGCTGATGTACCATATATACTCAAGTACAGTGCCAGGTTTTTATGCAAAAAATGGTGGGGGGGTGCGGGGGGTGCGCACTATACACAAATAATTTTTTTTGAAGAGGTTAAAAATCATGCATTTTTGGTCACAGGTTGCATTATACATAAGTAAATTTTTTCTGGAGGGTTTGAAATTCATACATTTTCAGTAACTGTAACCTACTTATTAGATCTAAATTCTCATGGTAACTTTATCTAACCTTAACAGTACTTACATCACTGAGGTATTGCTTTTCCAATGGCATCCCTTTTATCTGATATGCATCTATACTGTATATATGTTTCACCTGTGTTTCTTATTTTGTTATCTTTTTAGTTAAATGTATTTATTATTTACATTTACTGGTATCATTTTATCGTATATTCTTCAAATATTTTGACAAGATGCACCGCAATATACAGCAAATAATGATTTCCCAGGGTGAGATTCCAAATGAATTTTAATAAGACAATAGTTATTAAGAGCTACAAAGGACAAGAAATTGTGGAGAGCCATAATTGCCAATGTCCTGAAGGGACATGGCACAAAGAAGAAGATGAAGAACTTGGTATAAAAAAAAAAAAACAATCAAAATTAATTTCCTCTTACTTTTCTGATTTTAAAAGTTGATCTGCATAAATTTAATATTTCATCAAATGATTAATAATTCATTAAAATAAATCCTCAATTAACAAATTCAGCTAATTAATTCTAAATTGGCTTTTAGATTAACATGTCTTCACTAATGTCATCTGTTTGCTTATATGGAGTTATTTGAGATCAATTCAAAGGGACTTAAATTTATTTGTAATTATGTGAATTACATATGCCCTAGTAACAGATTATTTTTACCATGTTGGTGATGGAGGCATGGTGATCCCCTTGACAAGGAAACATGAAAGGGCTTAAGTTTTTAATGCCTTCTGGTTTAATTAAGCTCCATATCTTTGTGTGTGTGTGCGCATGTATATATCGTTTTAAACATTATTTTTTATTGGATACTCTTATTTGAGCAAACATTCCATTTATTTATTAAACAGTATATTCATTTATTTTCACCTACCAGCCTGAATATTTGAGAAATCTCATTAAAGAAAAAATCCTTCAGCAGGAATTGAACCTGCATCCCTCAGGACAGAGGGAGCCACCGTTTAGCCTTGTGCCCTTTACCACTTGGCTAAGAAGGAACAGACAATGAGGCAAAATCAATTTTATGCTTTTCAAGCAAAATTTCTCCCATCATAGAATCTCAGAAAGTTTTTCGTATCTGCACATAGTTTCGTATCTAAACATAAAAAAAGAGAATCTATTTTTAGAATTGTGTTTATCTTACAGAGACAAGCAAACCAATTCCTCAAAATTGGTAAGGATTTATTTAGTTTCTGTTTCAGATAAAACTATTTAAAATTTGAAAATGATGGCTGAATGGAATGATATAGTAAAAAAAAAAAAATAATAAGCATTTTTATTCTTATTATTTTTATACTAGTTTGACTGTCTTATTATTTTTGTTTTTTATCCAAACACTCCGTATTGGTACATTCTTTACTGTAGACTGTTAGAGAAATAAAGAAGTTGCTTCCTACACCATGATTGTAACATGAAAATATTGATACTTAATTTATTAATGCTCACTGTCCCATTTTTTGGAACAGTTGGCATTTATGGTTTACAGGTAAAAAGCTTTAATTAATACAGATGTGTTTTTTTTAGGAATCTATAATTAATAATAGAATTTTATTTAACTTTTTTATGATGAATACCGGAATAAGATAATTATACTAATCAGTAGACATTTTGTCACTTTGTCTCTTCTTGTTTTGTTTTTTTTTTTCTTTTTGGTAGGGTATTACTAAACAATGCTATTTATTGCTATTATCATTTACTTTCA